GCAATTTGATGTTTTTCACCATAGCGCAGTAGTTCCCACCGCAGTAGATTTAATTCTATATTGTTCTGTTTTTCTAGTTTTATTTCGTTGTTGTTTTCCTCATCATGCCATTCAATTTTTTTAAAATTAAACAAGAAATTATTGAATCCCATTTTTTCCATTTGTTTTATAAATTTTGCATCAATTTTTCTGAAATTATGATACCAATATAGTATCAAAACGTGCAAAAAATGTCTTTTATTATTTTTGTATTTTATTTTGGACATAGTGGCTAGTACATTTTCAAAAATTGAAAATTATATATATGAAGGTTTAGTTATACATATGAGAAGTGTTTCGTGGCGTAATGGTTAAGCTCACGACTTGTATGGACCGGCTCGTGAGTTCAAACTCGCTCTGTACAACTTAACATCCTGCTGAAGCGATGTCTATTTTCGCTTATAATCTAGACTAGATCAAAAATATGTTTTCGATTGAAATAGCCCATTTCTGGCACTGCAGTATGAAGTAGCAATGGAAATCTCCCAAACTATATTCCCTGAATTGAGTACATCATAGCACTGGTGCTAAACTCTGCTCATAGATCTGCCCTATACATTTTACCCATTTTTATCAGAAAGAAGTAGGAATCAATCAGTACTTAATGGATTATTACTTTTATTTTTGTTTTCAAATTTATCTAAATCTTGCTCCTATATTGAATTTATGACATCAATGCTCTCTCTCCACTATAAAAAATATAATACCTTAGCTTACTCATTGAGGAAAAATCATTCACTTCCATTATTTGAAAAAAATTTAGCAAAATTTTACTACTACTATTATGCTAATGATAAAAGAGTTGAAAGTATAAGTGTAGGGTGTAGCACAAAGGTCCCATTAGAAACAATTATATTGTAAAAACCAAACCAAATATAAGGCAACAAATAGTACATATCAAACACCGAAAAATGTTAAATTTTTTTTCTGAAACACCAAATGCTAATGAGTTCATTGTATCGATCAGAATAAATTAAAATTGTGTACTGTGAGCCATAAATTTATTACATTCACATTTTTTCTAATATTTTCTGATTTGGAAAATTTTGGAAAAATTTAAACGACGTGATACTGGTCTCCTGTTTTACCTCCAAATTATTCATAAATTTGTGTTTTATCTATACGCAGAAGCGTGACAAAATCTTTAGTGTAATACTTAAAAAAAATGGATTCTCATAAAATCTTTTTTTTTTCATACGTTTTGACATGTTATCGTATGTCATCATTAGTGATTCTAAAATAAACTTCTAATAAATACTTCTAATGAATAATATATAATTATTATTATAACCATAGTTCTCGTCGTCTTAAATAAAATAAAAAATATGACTTTATTGATTTTATAAAAAAAAAAAATTATTATTTGGTGTATTGCCCTGAAAATTTTGTTTTACATATTATGGCAATGCATTGCTCTAAATTATGGTACATATTAGTTAAACGAATATTTTACGGTCAATTAATTTAATTTTATAGTTGGATAATAGAAAATAAAAAAGTATGGCAAAATTATCTAAAATAATGTTAATAAAATTATATTAAAAAATGATAAACGTTCTTAAATCAATCTGTCTTTAATTTAAATTTATTTATAGTTTAGAAATTGAATTCTAGTTATAAATGAAATAGATCTTGCTCTCATTTTCAGAAAAGTTTACATAACATATTTGTTACTTACACTTTAAGCAAATTAACAAATATTATTCTATAATAGTTTGATGTTTGCCAGTTTTTTATGTATCCAAAAAATAATTTACAGGTACATAGAATTTTAATTTTGCTAAGATCTTCTAAAAACAACACCTAAAAAAATTTTTTACTATGTAGTACCTAAACTGCACTATCGAATATTTTATTAATCAGTAATAAATTTAATTTACATTATATATCCAATTAATATTTTGCTCCCAGATCTATCATTACAGTCTTAACCGCCCCAAAGCGTTGATGTTTCGCATGAATGAATTACTAATCGAGGTATCCCCATACGCTGAAACGATTCATCTAGTTTTGATCTGCATACTAATGCCGAGACAAAACGGAATTCGTATGTAATTGCAAAGACGTGATGTGTACTGATGTCAGGAAGAAAATCCAGTTAACTAGACAGACGTTAAAATGCCATTTGCTCATCCGAGAGTTCAATTTAAAAAAAAACACAGCGATTCGAGAAATGATAGGTATGTGCATTCTTGGCACGATATTAATTGAAGTGAGATTTAGAGACTTGAAAAAAAAAATTATATTACTAATCAAAGATGCAAACATTGACCGTATTAAATTTTTGATACACAATTTGGAGGTAGGCATAAAATACTTGATAAAAGTAAATGCTCAAGTTCATCATCAAACAATAGAGCAATTTGTGACTTTTAACGATTTTTTTAAATTGTTCGCAAAAATAGAGTCTGTATTCAATTTATATGCTTGTTTTCCAAATTAGAAAAAATTAGAAAAAAAATATGAATGTAATAAATTAATGGCTCAAAGTACACAATTTTAATTTATTCTGATCGATACAATAAATTCATTAGCATTTGATGCTTCAGAAAAACAAGGAATAATTATATAGAGCAAACATTTCAAGTAAACGATAGGATCCAATATAAAATAACGATGATGCCCTAAGATATAATGTATCTAATATCATTTAAGAAGCTTTAAGAATTTTATTTTGTAAACGTTTATCAAATAATATTGGCAATATAAAAATTTAAATTTTTTTTAACAAAACATCTAAAGTAGTATATTAAACAAATTTTGTAAAAAAAATTTTTGTCCTGCAAATTGTGAAAATCGAAATCCTCTATATAATGGAAGGGTTACATGAAAAAGGATTTTGCAATAAATGCAAGTCTCTTCGGTAAATCTTTGGTTTCTTTTAATAATTAATTTTCCATACTTAGAGTAGAAATTAAAAGCCAATCACATTTGAGTTTTTTTTTCTTGGTCCTGTAATGCTTACAAAATAGTACTTTGACATTGTAATAATCAAATAATAAATATTAATCAAAATCCGAATAATCACCAGATTCTTGTAATAAAACTAATCGAAATCACTAGTATTGGCATAAGTTAATTCATAATATTTACGAATATCAATAAATAGGTCCTCAAGAACATGAAGAAAGTATCCTCAAAATTATATTTTGAAGGTATGATACATATTTGAGGTGATTACTGCAAGACTGTGACAATGACGACCAATATCTGATAAGATTGTCATTATGGATTTCTTTATGATAAAAAATCGCGAAAATATTAATAAAGCTATCTATTTCGCAAATAAGGTCACTGTTTTGTCTTTCTATACCCTTACATCCGTATTTATTCTACCACATTTTACAAAATGTATTTATATTATTAAGTTCCCGGGAATTCATTTCATATGCTAAAGACCGCATTTAGATAGCTATATAATAGTTTGCAAAGTATGAAATACTATACTTTTTTGCAATTTTGTTAATGATGTGCCAATAAATAATACAATATTCTACAAGCAACATTTAAGTAAAAATCATTCATATGGATGATGACACAAACCGTAGTCTCGTAACGTTTTTATATTCAATATAATCTTATAATTAGCGAAAAAATTTAATAATTATTCAAGTTATTATGTATACTTTTACATTCTAGCACAAATAGTTCTTCCACTTTTAACTATACATTTTTAGTAAAAATAAATATGCGATTATCTTCATTAAATTTGCTTTTTAAGTCCAAAGTTTCAATTAAAATTTATACGCCGAAAGCTCCAGTTGATAGTTTTTGCTTGTTAATACCTCACACAGTTTTAGCATGTACAAAATCGGGTTGAAAATGTTACGATCTCGCAAAAAAAACTTATCTGCGCCATGGCAAGTGCATTTTTAAAGTAGGACATAAAACAAATGATGCACTTGAATGAAGCGAGCGCTCATCGTTCGTATAATAAACAGAACAGTCTTGTTTAATCTTCGTCCTAGCAGCAAGGAAACTCACGAAGACATTTGGATCTCCAGATGTATTTATTTAACAAGCTTAAAGAGAATAATATGCATATTTCTTTTTTCTCTCTCGAATGCCATAATTTCCTGGCATTCGCAAACCGTGTAATAATTTTCTACAAAACTACCGCAGGCTGAAAAAATCGCAGCAACATACCATTACGCTCGAGGCATGTTATTTTAGCATATGTTGCTTCATGGGCAAGCAATCTGTTTTGGAATTAAAACATATGCGAAAATAAAAACTTAAGTATTTTTATCAAATTTGCAGCTAAATTATATGTCCTAAGAAAACTAATAAATGACAATATATTTTTTTCTTATTCAAATTGCTTGTAGATTTAATTTTTATATTGTTACAAATCAAGCAAATCTAGTATATTTAAATTTGTTACACAAAAGCAATTTCAGAGCGACGTGGGTCAAACACATATAGATAGAACACAATGAAATATTACAAGTAGTTTAAAAAAATATTCAAAGTTTGAAAAAATATAGTCAAAATTTGTGTCAAAAATCGATTTTGTGATGTGTTAAGTCAATCAAATCAATTTGAAATGTCTTGGGAATTAGCAAAAAAAAAAAAACAATCTACAAAACTTCTCAGT